GGGGGGGGGGGGGGGGGGGGGGGGGCACCTTCGTGGAAAATGACGAATTTTCGGAAATTGTGACCTATAAAAGGGCTAAAAACAGTCTTTTCGAGTGCAAATAGGGGGTGGGTTTGTCGGAAATTTGAAAGTTTTGTCGGAAATTTAGAAGGCTTCGCCCCCCCCCCCCCCCCCCCCCCCCGCCACCGGAAAAAGTGAATTTCCGCCACTGGTAATTTGCTTGTAATTTGCATAGCCCGCTTGTTTAACTATATTATACTGTACGTCAATAAAGGTTGTCCTAAGCGCGCAAACCTTAATGGGAGCACAAGTTTCAAGCTTAGTAGTTGAATATTGCAGCTATTTGTGAATGGATTGTTCTCGTAAGAAGATATCCAAGGCCCCCCAAGTTGTCCGAAAACACAAAAGGTGCTTTCTCTCCGGTGGCAAAGTGTCCTTTTCATTCCAAAACTGAAACATTTTTCAGGTGCCCTTTTCATTCCAAAAGTGCCCTTCGAAACCGGCCCCCTCTCCCCCCCCCCAATCATTTGATGCTTCCTGCGCCCCTGGATATATTTATAATTAGGGACCGGTCATTATTTATGGCGGGGGGTGGCACCAAAGAGAAAAGGGTTGGGTAAACAAAATTTTGAGTGAGTAAAAGGTTGCATGGGTAAATGAAAAGGAAAACAACTCAAGGGTTGGGTGATAAAAATTTATTGTCATTTCCATAGCATAGCTCACCGAAATATTAGAGACTGAGAAGCAACAGTCATCAGTATGGCAAGATGTCAACAGTCATATGTCAATACCATATGAATATGTGAATCAATCGGAGTCACTATATCTTGATAATTTTCCGATTTGTTGGGAGGCAAATGGTGTCTCCAAAGAAAGTACATGTCATGTGCAGGTAACATGTAACTTTAGACTGCAGAAAATATCACAAGCCGTTATCAAACTCATGTCACAGAAGTGGTAAAGGAAATGTGTGAAACTGAATGGTATCTGTTTGTAACGTTTTTGGCCAGGGGTGGGTATTCATTTTTTAATTGATATTCGAGGTTGGTTAATATTTTTTTTTTACTTTTTAATGGTTGGGTCAGCAAAATTTTTGCCACGAAAAACATTTCTTTTCGGTGCCACCCCCCCCCCGCGCCATAAATAATGACCGGTCCCTTAAGGCCCACATAGACCGAACGCGATTCGATAACACTAATTCAGTTTTTAAAAGCAAATAAAACCGTCGACGGATAAAAATTTTACAAGATATGCAGACCAAATAGCTAAAATTGCTTAATTGTCATTGAAAATTCGCGTCGCGTTGCCGAATCACGTCCGGTCTGTATGGCGAATCACGTACCGAATCACGTACGTTGCCGAATCACGTACGATCTGCCATGTCTCGAAAAAATGGGACCCGTATATAAATTCCTATTTCTAAACTAATTATGATGCTCCCAGAGTTCAGAGTTTTAATAAGGTTACCAATTAAATGACAACCTTTTTTGAATTAGCTGTATAAAGCTAGCCAGGGCATTTTATAAGAATTCGTCAGTGGGGGGCATCTACAAAAAGGGACCATACTATACCGAGTGTGGAGAAATGTTAGATGGTTTGTTGGTAACAAAAATTTTGGTGTGGTATCGCATTTACTAGTAGGGGAGGGGGGTATTTTTGTATTTTTCTACCCCTATGACTGCAATTCCCTGCATTTCCTGACACAGATTTTTGGATATACAGCATTACATTATGCTGTAGTCTGTAGATAGACTGAACCTTCAGTTAAGTAGTTGCATAGTATGTTTATGTTCGGATACCACAACTTGGCCATCACTCAGGGAGCCAGCTTGATAAACTTTAATAGAGGACCCGACTCCCACGAGGTGCCACCATGGTTGGCACAGAGGAGAAGAATTTTGAAAATTTTGCGTCTCTGAATCGTCGGAAATGGCATTTTCAAAGTCTTCTCTACCTCTTTTGTTAGACCCTTTCATTAATTCGTTCATTATGGTTTGTGAGTCTATGCTATCCGCGAGTCAGGATGGATTATTGCGAGAAATGTTTTTATCAAAATATCATTTATATAGATATTTGATTATATATATCCCCTCCCCCTTATGAAACACTGGGTTGGGGGCCCGTTGCCCCTAGCTGCGTCACTAACTTGTTTAGCCGAGCCTTGCAACAACTCAAAAAAAGAAATGACATAAGATTCACAAAGCAAATTTCAGTTACTAGAATATCAAACCTCCCTTCTAAATTCCATGTTTTGAAAAGGGACTTTGACTGGGGGGGGGGCAAAATGGTTGAGTGGGGGCCACCATGGGGGCTGGGGGCCCCCCCCCCTCCCAGTTATATAGTTAAAAAATGCCTTGGCTAGCCTTCGTGAGCCATTGTGTTTAACCATGGAGTACCCTGGTTCCATAGGCTCTTTGCGAGGCGAAATCTTTGCGAGGCGAAAGAAACGAGGAAAGTGCCACCAAATCCTTTATTCTTGTGGAACAGAAATAGAATTTTTGAAACTTTGTTGTACAACATGAAGTATATAGGGCTTCACGACGGGTTCCGGAATGAAGCCGATGTCTTATCGAGAAGTCACGAAGCTTGTTGAATATCTGATATACCACAGTGCATTTCGAGTCCAGTTCTCTCTTTTTTTTTGGTCGCCATCATGGGTGAGTTGTTCTTTACACGTGGACAATATTTTGTCAAATTTTGATGTTAAACTGGGGTTATACCGTAGTTTGTTGTACGGAATATGTTACCCCGAAACTGAATAAGGTTTTTATTGTTTTAAATTATTAAAGGAAAGCCCCGTGGACTTCGAACAGCTCGTAAACTTCGCAACCACCGTCGTGAACAAAGGTGGCATGATAAATCGTATAAAAAGAGTCATTTGGGGACTGCTTTGAAAGCTAATCCTTTTGGTGGCGCTTCTCATGCTAAAGGGATTGTTTTAGAAAAAGTGTAAGTAACTTTGGCTGGTTAAACTTAATATTTATTGCAGGATGAACGAAAATTGTAGCATGTCAGAGACTTATTATTTTATATATTAAGTGTATTGGTGTAATTTATTTGGTGAGTAAACACGTTCCAATGTAGCAACAACGGAAGTATCTACCTGAAAAATGTAGAAACTACTTGATATTTTACTTCCTTGCATTCCAGATGAGTGTTTATAAGGCCCCGTTTACATGAGACCGGGACGAAGTCAAACCGGAATGAAAATTGAAATTGTCAACATGTTTACATGAGACCGGTACGAGGATCACAAAATCTTCAATTTATTCCCCTTGCCAGGCAATTTTCTTTTTCAGGTGGCTTTTGCTAGCATGTGTTGTTCCTAGCATGTGTTGTTCCAATGTCAAGATTACAGCCGAGACCGGTCTGAAATGTATTTGTGTTTACATTCATCCCGGTCTGAATTCATGCCGGTCTGAAGTCAGTCGGTTTGGTCCAGAAGGCGGAATGACTTGAGACCGGTCTGAGTTATTTTCGTCCCGGTCTCATGTAAACATCTATTATAGATAATACTATGACCGAAACGAGATGGTCCCGGTTTGACTTCGTTCCGGTCTCATGTAAACGGGGCCTAATATGCTTCAGCAAATGTGGAAACAGGGTTTTAACGTTACAAAGATCGAAGTGACTATATGTCCAGCAGCCGGACAATGTTTTGAAAAAACTAAATGTTCGGCAGTATAGTGACTATAGTTAAATATAAAAACTTTTGTTTTCGCTAGCTTTACCAAGCTTGCCATTAGCTTATTTGGCAAAGGTGCTGCATGCAGAAAGTGAAACACAGTCGGGATGTGTTTTATCTGAATTAGCATTGTTTTTTTCTTAAAATTTTTTAAACTTTTTTCCCTGGCTTTCCTAACTCTCAAAAGGTTAGGGATAGAGAAGGGTTGGGATCGGTTTATCTTATAAAAATTCAATTTTAACTATACTGCCGGACATTTAGTTTTTTCAAAACATTGGACATATAGTCACTTCGTACAAAAATAGCCGGGCTAAAATAGCCAGGATTTAACTTTCAGAGTGTGGGACATAATAGCAGCAGTTTAACTCTCCTACACCCTGGCATTATTATAGTCAAAACAAAAATATTGTGCACTTTTTTTTTGTTTAGCATATAGTTGCTCTAAAATTGAAAAAAAATTTAAAATGTCTGATATGTCGGAATTACCAATAATTGATTGACTGCAACTAATCGTGACTGGGCAACAATCGGAAATTACCAATTATTCATGCCACAATCTACCCGATGCCAATACCGATTTTATAATGCGTCGTTCCAGAAAAGATCCACACTCCCCCTACAGAGGAAATTTCTGCCATCCGGAGGGGAAGGGGAGAAAAAATTGTTTGTGATAATAGTAAATGTATTAGGACATCCGAAGGGGGTAGAGGGTTCACTTCCAATTTCCTCTGTGGGGGTGGTATGGATATTTTCTGGAATGACCCAATGACGTCATAATATCAGTCGACTGAGTAAAGGTGACATGTTCATTCATGTCGATTTTTTAATAATAATTTCCAACGTAACATGTTACTGCAACCAAAAATTGTTAATAAATGGCACGCTTTACCCATTAATTTAACATGTTGAGTTAAAATGCAACATGTATTAGCCACTGATATAATATTAGATCAATGTACACAGCCAATTTCGCACAAGTTGGAACGGATCTGCAACAGATCTGTTAAAACCTGTTGTCAACAAGCTGATATCTGGATGCGTTCACTCGCCTTGTACCTGTCTGTTCTGACAGGTCCGCAATGGCCTGTCAACAGGTCTGTTACAAGCTGTTGTGACAGAGCTGCAGCAATGCTGTTTTCAACAGGCCTGTCGCAAGTTGTTGTGACAGAGCTGCAGCAAAGCTGTTTTCAACAGGCTTGTCGCAAGTTGTTGACACAGAGCTGCAGTAATGCTGTTTTCAACAACTTGCGACAGACCTGTTGCAAACCGAGGAAAAGTGCCTTATGAAGCTTGTGTATCCACTATTTTAAACAAAAACGGCCAAAGTTGCTATATTTCGGTTGTAGTGTTTCGTGAAATAGTCAGACTTTCATATATAAAACACTTTATACGAACAAACTTGCGAGATAATTTTTGAGCAAAACAGCCGAAAAAGTACGACAAATTAAAGAAAGATTCTTATCGTATAAAACAATTTTCAAAATTAATCGGTCTTTAAGTACGACCAAAAAATTTGACAACCTTGAACCTACTTGCATATTTTTCTTCAAAATAGTACATACAATAACACAAAGCTTCAATAAGGCATCTTCCTCGCTTGCAGATTTTACTTGAAATTGGAAAGAAATTATATATAACGAATTTCATATTCATATCAACAATGAAGAACATTGCAGTGAACACTCGGTTGTTCGTGTATTTTTCATTTCTTAAGCTCTAGATCTTGTGTTCTCATTGCCACAGTTTCTTCAAAAATCAAAACAGCTTTGAACTTGTTTGGTTTTGTTTGAGGCAGTTGTTGAAATTTTGTTTGGCTCAAAATTCAAAAACAACTAAACATGATTATGTGATTGATATGTTTCGTCCAATTGCAACGAGGAATGATGACGTGTGAACACGCCTTTATCCAATCAGATTAAAGAAATATAGCAATAGCAGACGTCAGTAAATTGGATTTTGGAAATCGCCAATTGGAACTATTTTTTAAAAATAAAACAGCGGCTTTTGCATTTAATCACAGAGTAGATGCTTAGGTTATGTGCACACGGGCGTCGTTTTCCAGCGTTTTAAAAACCTTTTTTTAGTGTGTTTCATTTTATATGACTGCCATAAGTAGTGTTTACTTGCATACATTTGATTAGTCCTAACAAAAAAGATCGTGTTGTAAGGGTTTTCTGTCATTTCTGACCAACCCATTTTTTCCCCAGCAACTCTGTTTGACCCAAGTTTTTTGTAGCTCGCATTGTGATCTCATCACACTCATGACCGTTATTGACCAATGTGAAGCAAAAAACAATCTTTCTGACCTACCTACCCTATTTTTTCAGGATATGAAACCGGTATTAAACCGCAACATATTTTTTGTTAGGCTTTGTTATATAGCATGACATAAATTAGTGCAATTTACTTTTACCCACAGTTCTGGACTTCAAGATATTTATGATTGAGGATAGAGTCACGCGTTAAAAGATCAATTTTTAGGGTGTGCTATTTCCTCAAAAATTAAATTTTGGTTTTCAAATTCGCTGGAACTAACTTTTGTGTTTTTTCCAGTCACCAGAATAACCAACATCTCATTAGCATTAATAGTACTTGCACTGCAATACTGGTCTTTCAAAACATAATCTTTCGAGACATGGTCTAGAAACTCAGTAAACTTCAAAGCGGTTATAATGAGCTGTGAGTTTATGTTGAGCTGTACCTTGCACCGTGCACATCCTTTGTTTTAGGTTCATTAATATTTAAATAGCATGCTTGAATGACTGAACTGAAACGTTGCTATTGGATGATTCGTTCATTATATTGAAATACAATGTGTTCATTGACCGTGCATAAACGCGAACAAAAAGATAGAACAAAGACTTTAGCGGAGTTTCCAAACCATGTTTTGAAAGACTATGTTCAAAACCATCAAGTGTATGTAATCAACATTTTCCGAATCCAAAAAAGGGGCTGGAAAAAGTAACATGTGTCATTGTGTGGGAAAAGAAGTAAAGTCTGGAAGAAAATTCTCAAAATGAACTAAACTGTCCAAAAATAACCCTACTGTAGCTATAGTGTAGCCACAAATTTTGTAGAATATTAATTAATGGCTTCTATTGAAACCGAACATGTTCTCTTTTTAGGGGTGTTGAAGCTAAACAGCCAAACTCCGCTATCCGTAAGTGTGTGAGGGTGCAGCTAATTAAAAACGGCAAGAAAATCACCGCATTCGTTCCTAATGATGGTTGTTTAAACTACATTGAAGAAAATGACGAAGTTTTAGTCTCTGGGTTCGGTCGTAGTGGTCATGCTGTTGGTGATATCCCTGGTGTACGTTTTAAAGTCGTGAAAGTTGCCAATGTTTCCTTACTTGCTTTGTTCAAGGAGAAGAAAGAACGTCCACGATCATAGAATTAATAAAATTTTTGGTCAATAAAGTATGCTTTAACTGGTCTTACGTTTTGTTTATTTGGTTCGTTTTTTTGTACAGACATTTCTTACGTTTTTGTACTGATATTTCTCGGTACATACCGAGCATTACCCTGGGTGCCAGAGGTTCGTCCACGCTCGTAGGGGGGATAATGAGGGATACACGAGGATTCAAGCTGGGAGGCGGCGAGCGGGAAGAACCTCTGGAACACTTCTATGGTTTCTCAGATCGAACCGCACCAATCACGATGCTTAATAGTATGAAGTGATCCAGAATCTGGATCACAGTGTTAATTGGTTAATGGCAGGGACTTGTTAAAACAATGACTTTCATTGGCTGTTTGAACCGTATGTCCTTCAAGATATTATCGCTCAGAATCCGTACGGGCATACGCTGTTGTTTAATATAATATTATATTTATAACATAGGCGTAAATATATATGCCTCTAGTTTTGCGAGAGGAGTTCAACAGCTCGGTCGCGGTTGATTCGATTTTGAATTTTTTTACTGGACGGTGTTACAAAACTCAATAAACATCGAGATGATGCCTTGTTTCTGTGTTTCAGTTAATGCATCGCCGTGATATGTTTGCTATATTGCCATTGTCCATTGAAGAGGGAATTTCGTGTGCCTGGCTGTCTAGTAATCAAGCATGTCAAGACAAGATGGGAGTCTTTATAGGCCTATTTATATCTCAAGGATTTATTGTAGGAGATGATGTAATTCATCTCTATAATGTCATTCAACGCGGTGAAACATAACATAATTTCAAAGCAGACTTTGATTACAAAACCAATTAAGGTACGTTTACACGCTGCGATTTGTCGGCTACGATTCGTATTAGATAGATAGATAGAAACTTTTATTTAAACACGCTAACCATTGTCAACCTAGGCTGATTTCCACAAGGGGCGTGTACAATAATAAAATTACAAAGATATAGTATATAGTAAGATATTACATACAGTAATATATATATATATATATATATAAGAATAATAATGCTATTCGAAAATGTGAGTATTCAAAAATGTGAGTAGCGATTTTAGTTTCAAAGGACATGATGGAGTTGCTCTCTCTAATTTCGGTTGGTAAAGAATTCCAAATGTGTGCCCCGTCAAACATGAAACTTTTTTTCAAGCTATATTTGTACGCGGCTGTGGTAAGCAAAGAGTACTTTCCACATCTCGAAGTTTATAATTTGTCATTTCACTTTTGAAAGTAAATAAATCAGTAAGTGATTTAGTTTAGGACCCATTTTATTCAACAATTTAAACATCAGTTTGGACTTAGCTTTTATTCTTTCCGTTTTAAGCTTCCAGTCTAAAGCATCTAAAGCAACCAGATGATCTACATCATTGCTCATATTCATTATGATTCGAGCAGCTCTGTTTTGGAGGCGTTTTGATTGTGTTTCACCAAACACATCCCATACTTCACAGCAATATGTAAAGTATGGATTCGAGTAAGCACGCGTACGGGGGTTGCATTTCAAATGGGGGTTGCATTTCGCCATAAACTAAACCACTACGCCCTGACTAGACGAAGAGGAATTGCGCGTTAGAACTAATTTGCATACGTCAGAATACGAATCGTAGCCGACAAATCGCAGCGTGTAAACGTACCTTTAAGCTATTAACTACAAACAAGATTAACTACAAAGCCATTTGAATTTACTATGCATGTATATATACATACGTATTTTTAAGACTTTAATTGGGAAGCTTCAACTAGTATGTAATATCTATGAAATAAGCACTGTTCTATATATGGGAAGAACACGAGACATGAAATTACTAATTCCCCAGACAGCATGCAGGTTTGAATGTTTCCACTCCTCCTTTTATATCAAAATCGTTGTGAGCTTTGACGTTGCCTTTCATAAGCGGACCACAACTTACTGCGAGAGCTGCAATCTCATATGAACAAAGGATTCGATCCCAAACATTCACTTCAGCCAAGAAACCTTTCATTGAATCTCTCTTTGCAAAACCACCTCCAAGCCTATCTTGGTCTTGACCAATGATCCAAGTTCCACCTGCGGGGATGAAGCTCGTAGGCCTGAATATTTTAGCTTTCTTGATGCCATCAACATACATCTTTATCCAACCAGTTGAGAGATCCCATGTGACACACGCGTGATGGTTTTTGCCGTCAGCAACCACATTTGGACTTCTATATAACCACATAAATTATAAAGGTGTATATACTGTCGTAATATCAGAATTGGCCTCTCATATGCCTGGGAGAACAGCACGTATTATAATTAGTCTAAATTGTTGGATAAACTTGCAGCATACTGCATATACATGCATATGTACATGTCTGCTACTGTCATCAACCTTGAACAAGGTGCATGATAACAACTAGTTTCAGACTTGTTTACAACTCCGCGAACAAACAGTGCGAACCGACATCTTATAATTAATATAGAGAGGTTCAGATTTGACGGCTTCCACTACCACTACGTATACTACAACCTTCCGCTGGCTTAGTACGCATCTGATTGGTTAATCGGATATACTTAAACGCATCTGATTGGTTAACAAATTCGAATGTATAGTCATAATATAACCAGCTTTATATGCTCGTTATAATAGTTTTCAGCACGTGTTACGCACGTAAAAACGCACAAGGAGTTAATTACTACACTGATCTGCAAACAATTAAGTTTTAATTAACAAGGTTGTTCTCAAGCCGATATATTATAGAAAAGCTCAGATTTGACTTCCACTACCGCTATACCGCCACGATTAAGGCTTGCCTATTAAAGTTCGGTTTGTAGTGCAGCAGCTGTAAATATTACGTAAATTTTAAATTATCTTTGATAATTGCATTAATTCACACACACTTTTCTACAGAACTGTACCACACTTTTATGTATATATTTCTCAACCGGTACATGCATTCAAAAAGGTAGCCCGTATAGCCAACACGTTTAAACTATAGAAATTAAAGCTAAAGTCGGAGAAGATTCTAAGTTTTGCACGAACGCTTTTTATCGCAAAAACACGACATAAAACAAATTTAGTCACTTTTCTCAATTTATTTTTCATAAAAACAAAACGACTAAATATATTGAATCTGATAATTTTCTCAATCTCTAAACTACAAATTAACCTCTACCTATTACTATGTATAGTGCTGCACGACACCGTGCATGGTGAAATCAACTACTATTTGATACGAAGAATTATTTTGTCACATACTCAGCCCATATACTTCTGCGAGCCACTTTTAGGGTTGACGTAACCCAAATGATTATCTCGTTATCTGCATAGGAGGTTGCATACGACAGAATAGTTGGTGAATGAGTCTTTACATAACTGGCAGGGATGTTCATCCAAAAACACGCAGTGACGGCAGTTAACGACTTCTCTAATCCTCGGGATATGCCGTATTCGTCCACATTGTCACCAACAAAGTTCAAGCCATCATTACCTAAAAGTACGATATACGGATTATTTAAGGAATTTTAAATATTGATAAATGGCGCTTACGATGCAACCCAAATGATATATCTTTTTTACAATTTACTTCCTTTGAAAAGAACTCTAAAATTTCTGAAATTTGTGTTGCCAATTAAATTCGAAGCTATATAGCGTACAATTGTTATATTCAGTTATCAAGTACAACAGCGCTATAGCAAAACTCATTTTTGTTTTACTGATTAATTAAGCAATCAGCTAATACAGTAGTTTTGTTTTGTGGTCATTGTGGACAATAATATAATTACTCTCATTCACAATGAAAAAAAAATCATTTCTGACTGACCATAAGAGCAGTTCAATTTTATCGAAATACTGCAGTGCAAAACAAATTCAGTGCCAAAAAGGGAATTCAGTGCCAAAAAAGAAATTCAATACCAAAAAAGAGATTCCAGTAATCGTTAAACTTAAGACTGTACTTACAGGGGCATTGCTGAGAACGACATTCCTTGACCAACACAGCGGCTAATGCAAAAATCACAAACTCAATCTTCGACATGTTCTTGGATGTCTATAAAAGAGTATAATTTAAAACACCGTAATGCAGAATGCCAAGTGCGTATACCTTGTATAACAGCAGGCCTTTTGTAACTATATAACTGGGGGAAGCCAAAGTATAGCCTCCCAATCCCCATGGTGGCATCCCAGTCAACCATTATTACCTCCCCATTTGTCCCCCCCCCCCCTCCTCTAAAATATAAGCAAAACATTGGACAAAACCTGAAATTTAGATGGGAGGTTTAATGTTCTAGTAACTGAACCTTGCTTTGTGAATTTTATGTCATGTCGACGTTTATCTTCAAACGATTCAATGTCTTTTTAAAAATGCTAAACATTGTGGCTTAGATTTTAAAAATTTCTCAGCGGATAACATATCCCAGCCTATACACGCGTAAAAACGCCCAGGTTGATGCAATATTGATGAAAACAGGATTGAACAATGCTTTGCTGCCCACATTATTCACAGTTGCCAACAATATATATGCAACAAGGCGGAGAAAGAGAAGTTGACAGTCAGTGATTCAGATCAGAACTATGTTACTATAGGTTTCCTATCTCCGTGCATGTGATAGTTAAGTTCGTTCTAGCATATATAGATATTGCAGTGCCTTTTTAAGGAATTTTCACTGGGGGAGTGGGGGGGGGGGGCAAAGGCAACTCTGTGAAGGCTTGAAATTGTCAACGTTTGTTTAGGGGGACAAATTTAGGCGTCTGTCAAAGGAGTGTGTACTTATAACCTTAAAGATGATTTCCACTCCTGTCGGCACATGCGCGAACTTTGTTCATGTTTTGAACTGCTATGTACTATTTAAAGCACGCGTAGGAGTGTTTTATCACATATAAAACACGACGCGTAGCGGAGTGTTTTATATGTGACAAAACACGACTACAAGTGCTTTAAATGGCTTAAAAAACGACTCAGCTTATACGAGTTCATTGGCGAAGTAATTTTTAAAATAAACTTTGTCTAAACCGAGAAAATCAAAGCTAAAGTTTATGTAAATTAACATGATTTTATATCACATATATAACCACGACACGCTTATGATTTTTCTTTGTGTTTTGCTCCTGAATTATTAATGAGTTTTTAAATTTGTATAATATGATATACTAACTGGATATCTAACACTTTTCTGGTTCGCCATGCTTGTAAATGAATATAAACTGTACGTTTCAATTCAAATAGGTTTGAAAGATGCAAAATTTTGGCAATCATGTTTATATCTGGGGGTCCCCCTTTGTTATGAGTAGAACTGATGTGATTGATATAATTGTAACTGTAACCATGACTTTACATCTCTCAGACAGGGTCAGATGGATTTTGCACAGGCATTTTATGTTGTTGTTGGGTAGCCGGGAACATTTTGAAAATGTGGGATGACAGGAACTCCATTTCCTGCACTTATAGGCAGTTGAAACCAATGGTTGAGGCCACTTTTCCGGGCCGGCCAGAATCAACAATGTAACTGGAGGGGCAAATCTGATTTCTGGCATGGGGAGCTAGGGTTGATTGTCCCCCAGTTATCACAGTTAAAAATGCTACGAGATATTGTTAACGAAGAGTCAAGAAATGTTCTACTGTGCTGCATGTTTGTGTTCCTCACCATGCATCACTATATGTAGGAAACTCCTACCTTAACTCCGGTAGTCCAGAAGGAGCTCAGTTGAACAATAAGAAGTTCTACAAATTATGGCGTTTTTGAATAAAATGGGCCAAATGGCAATTACAACAGATTTACCTTGCCCTTTAGTAGCTCGGTTGCAAACTAATTCACCGTATCATGCATATATCGTAAGAATGCATTCCATGGCCACTCCATTCGATGATTTTAATTTTGTTCAAGAATTATTTTAGAAATTTAAATTTTGTATAACTGCTCATTTTCTAGAAGTGCATGTTAACTTAAGGTTACAGAACACCTTTGAGTGTTAATTTTGCCTAAATTTTTTTTATTGGTTTCCATGAAAGCATTAGACTAGTTCTACTATCTGACCAAGTTTGAACGGAAAATGTTGAAAACTCGCAGAGTTATTTAACAAAATACATTTCGCTGCAATAAGAAAAACATTGAAAATGTAATATTCAAATTCAATTTTCTCCCGAAAAATTTTACGGTAATTACTGATTTTCAAACGAGTTATGCTCCCGCGGGTTTTAACCAATTTTTCTCAAATTTTCACAGGGCATAGCTAAAGACGTCAGTTTCAAAATCGTGTTCGGTTTTTTTTTAATTTTGAATATTTTAAAAATAAAGAGCAATTTACTAAAACAATTCAGAAATATATTGCAGTCGTCAAAGAAACCGCCATATCAGCGGAATGACGAAATAAACAAAAATTTCCGAACACGATTTTTTAGAACAACTATTTTACTGTATAAAAATTATATTTTCATAAATATAACTTAAAACCAGCAGGAACATAACTCAAAAGCGTAACGGTACCGCGATTTAAGATTTTCCTGAATAATTCTTAACATTATTTTATTGTTTGTTAATTTTACAACTTTACCATATTTTGCATGCACTGGAGAACATTTGGTGAAAATTTGATGAAAATCGGACTGATATTGAGCGCGCAGTAGCGATTTTCCGCAAAACGCCAAAAAAGGTGTCCTGTAACCTTAAGAAAATCTGTTGTCAGTAAATTTAAATACCTTCTGATTACGTGATGAATGTTTCCTGTAAAAGATGCAATGAATTTATCCTTTCGCTTTCGTGAATGTATTTCAACTTAAACACTACGAGTGATTACGTTGAAATGATGGTTGGACGGCTGTATTTTACAACTATATAGTATATATTCAATATTTCTGGCAGTTGTCATGATATCTGCACAATTAATAGTGACACAACGGATTTATTCACATCTGACCTAAACCTGTTTTGCATATGGCAACAAATACGGATTACCAAGACAAATATAGAATCTGATTAGGTTGCTCTTTGTCTGTACTGACAGAGTGACAGAATACGCAAAAGAACAACGGGATCGAAGTATTGACATTGTTGAAAAGAAAAAAACAGTGAATTAATTATGTCTAGCGTATATAGAGCACATGAAACAAAATCAATTTTTAGCGCCCATGCCTACTCAGTTCCGCTTTGTATATAGGATATCCTATTAATCAGTATAATTGGGGTATTGGAACGTAATTTTACACTAATGGGTTTTAAACATAGATATATGGTTTTAAATCACTGATTTAAATTTACAGAAAAAATTTACAGAGAAAGCAAGTATGATATTCATATCGTCTTTATTAATCGACATTGAAATGACAGTAACCAAAATTTTGCATTCTACAGTCGCTACATTATTCCAAATGTCCAAACGTTGGTCAGGATATCACAAAACATAGTAGGTGGTCATGGGATCAGCGCCACTCTTGAAAATGCGCATTTTCGTATTTCTGTTTAGCCATGAGCTTGACGTGTGTTTGTCCCAACATGAGCCCCACCTTTGAATTTGCTATATGAGTAAATTGTTAAACACGTCCGAATTTATCAATATAATAAATTCGCAGCACATTTTGAATTTATCAATAGAGTAAATCATAAAAGCACAAGCATTAGACACTGAGACTTTTTGTTATAAATGTAATGGCACTAAAACGGGAGGCTGGTCGCGCCGAGGTGGGGAGATTTTCAAAACTAGTTTAAAAAAGTTAGATTATTATTGCTATAGGATTAGGGGTTAGTGGTTAGTGGTTAGGGTAAGGGTTGGGGTTAGTGTTAGGGGTTAGGGGTTAGGTGCCGCGAATTTATCATATTGATAAATTCGGACGTGTTTAACAATTTACTCAATTTATTCAATGAAAAATCTTGAAAAAATGAGTAATTCCCGCGAAATTATTACGATTTTTGACATAAATTTTAAAAAATCTCCCGAAATTCCCGGGAAGTTAGCGAGTTGGCTGACTCTTCCATAGTCCCTCATTCGTACGCGCGGTCGCGTTAATTTGAGCAGCGGATTCCCATTAAGCACCGCGCTCCCATTGTTTTCCACTGATCTCTATTCCCAACTGAAGCGACGAGGGACGAGGCAGCGAGTTGGTATATTACGAGTTCGACGTGATGTTATGAGAATCAGTTTGAAATAATTACTTGAAATGAAATTATATAGAACGGTCGCGAAGAGTGGGAAGTACAAAAATTCAATAATCATTCGGCCTCTCACATCCCTTGTTTGCTATAGGCAAAACAAATCAAGCAAGACTTGAAACCATATCTTAATTACTGTTTACTAAACTAATTAAAATTTCTTGCAACGAATTAGTGACAAAAAGGTCAAGGGCAACAAGGCATTTAATTATTTGTCTTCGGTCATCCTTTCACATGCAACTATATACATGATAAAGGTCAGTATTGCCGAGATTGAATTTCGGTAATTCTGTATTGAGACCTATAATGCTATATCTTATCCCTACGGCTCCCATGCCGGATTCATCCATGTCATTGGATTCATCCATGTCATTTTCTAGTCCAATATGCTTTGCGGGATATTCAAAAATCTAAATTAAAAATAGTGCGAAGTACAAAAATACGTACATTAGTCATTCAGCTTTTCCCATCTCCTACTTTTCCATAGGCAAAGCAAATCAAACTAGACTTGGAAATCATATCTTCATTTATACTGAAAACGACAACAAATTAGTGACAAGGCAAAAAGGCATTTAATTGTTTGTCTTAATTCGGTTATTCCTTTGACAACTACTTAGGTCTCAGTTTTGCAAACAATTTCGATAATTCTGTATTGAGAGGTATATCTTGTCCCTACTCTAGCTGCTGGACCTTTTCCTTGAGTCCTGCATAACGTATCACTGATTGTGCCACCAAAGGGTTTTAAATTCATATAATTTACATCAATACCTGCATGTAGACCTTTAAATCAATACCTATAGCCCCTATAGGGATACTGTTTGCAAATACAAAAAGCTTTGCATATAAAGTTTGTTCGTTCACTGCAACCAGGTATATCAATCATGTTTCGCTCGCT